ATTTGAAGCAGAACCGCGATTTTCATCTAGGCTTTTCCCAAGCTCAAATGTAGATGGCGACACGTTGGAAGATTCTGTAGCATCAGAAACGCGAGTAACTTTATGAGATATTTCACTGTCCATATTCACAAAATCTTTGGATTCCGAAATGGTTGTATGGTCTACTGAAATTTGAATAGTAGCAGGCGATGCAGGGGAATAATGAATGTCCGAGATCACTGGAACTTCTGTTTCATTTACGGAATTATGAATAGTCTCATCTAACTTATTATCAGTAGATAGATTCTCGTTCAAACTGGCAACAACCTCGCCTACAGGTGACTTTTGATCAAAATTATCAAGTTTCAGTTCTACCTCAGTTACAACTTCAGGCACATCAGTTGTATTTACAATTGTAGGAGTTGAGCAAATGGAAGAAACTTTGTCTTCAACCTGACAGTCTGTTTCGCCAACAGCCTCTGTAGACAAAGAGGATGATGTAGTGAACTTTTCACTTTCAGAATTATAACCATTAGTTCCATCCTCATCAGGTATAGTTGTAGCAGGTTTATCCGTGTCCAAAGTAGAACTAGTTGCATTATCGTCATTAAGAATAGTTTTCTCAGATTGTTCATCATCCTGAATTAGAAAGTCTTCTACATCAGACATACACATTGCAATGGTTGATGGGGTTGACGAAGGTGTGTCAGTTTGTTTATCCGTTGACGACTCGCTAAACGTAGAATCTTCATCTTCTTGTTCTGTTTCACTGTCAGAGATTTCTTTCTTCACAGACTCAAACTTTTTGCAGACACTACTATAGCTTTTTTGGTGAGATGGTCTACAATCCAATGGTTGTGAGTTTCGAGTGATAGCTAGGATATAAAATATAATGGCAAAATAAATAGGTGCCAAGTGTATTATATATATATATATATATATATATATATATATATATATATATATATATATATATATATATATATTAGCCTTCTATACATGTTCATTAAGCATTCCCATAGTTTACATTAGAAAATAAATACCAGCTAAGATGTACAAGAATTTCACACTAAAAAATTCCCTAAAATGATAGAATTATCATGTAAGCAGTGCAGATCATGGAAACTAATTCATTATATTCATAATCCACTGATTAACATGAAAATTAAACTTTAGTTGTCAATACATTTATTAAAGATCTATCAATGTAAGATAAAACAAAAAAAACTACTTTAAAAAGGTAAATCAGACAAGGAAAAAATGAATCAAAAAGACTTAATATGAATATCGGTGGACGTCACGAGAGCTCGATAATAGGAACAGGTTTATTTAATCGACTATAAGTCCCAATCTTTCATACGAGAGCTGGTGAAATTACGTAATTGCTGGGAGCGGAGTGTAGGAAGAGGGTTCTGAAACCGTTACCCAATGTGTACGCAAGAGCTTCAATCACCTAATACATAAACATTCTGCAATATGCGATCATAATAATGTAGTAGTAATATTTAGTAAGCTTACGTTTTCGTAAGTTAATGTCATAACATCATTCTACAATCGATGTTCAGCACAGCTGGACAGGAAGTGGCCCCCAAATGCCCAGGTATGCACAAGAATTAGGAGGACCTGTTCTCTTTCGTAACGATCTCATATGATCACGCATGTATAGATATCGCCAGGGAAATCCTATTCGCTACCTTTTCAAAAGTAGGGTGTTGTTTACGAAATTGAGAGGGCGAGAAGCGAGTGTCCAACGCATAAACCAAGTTAAAAGGGAACGTGGGGTGCACACAAAGAAACGAAAACCCTGATTCCAACGGTGGACAGAGGTTTCAGAATACTCCCAGAACAAACGGTGTCTCAATATACTGTTGGTCAACAGTCAGCATTGGATTGCATCCCCTGACGTAGCGCCAGTCTGTTGCACTAGGACTTTTGACCATAGGCTCGGAGTGGCTCCCCGTGAAAACCATCTGGTTCAGTCTGGGCAAGCGAGCACTATCCCTGCCCACAAACTAACCCAATAATTTTAACTTCACAAATACTAATCAAAACGAATTATTAATATTCGTTTCTATTTTTCATTATGCCACTAGTTTACTTCGTCATTTCTGTTTTGTGTATTTCTGATATTTCGACTACTACAGCAGTCGACCTATGGTGGAAATGATTTCTTATCTAAACGATCTAAAGTCACTGACCGGTAGAAACTTCAATGTTACTACCGAGTACGAATTCTGGGCCAGCCCTTTCTGAAACGTCCGTTCAAGTTGCCATACCACATTAGCGTAGAGACGCAATTGTCCATTCAAATCCCATAGAGGTAGATGTAGTAGAAGTATGATCAGTAATCGGAAAGATTAGGGTTTGAAGATATTATTCAAGCAGGAAAATTCAGTGAGATAAATTTGAGAAGAGTAAGATGAAGGAGTCTCATTAGTGCTCATGGCCAAATGATTTTATTTTTTATGCTGTAGGTTTGGGTCCGCTACATTGAAATTCTCGCAACATACAATTACAGATAACTTGATATGCTTTGAATGAAATTTCGACTAAAAAAGACACTCATATACGCAGCATTCACCAATTATTCAGAAAAATATCCCAAAACCTGGATACTGTAGACATTTTGAGTATTCAAAAATGGATGGATAACCTCACAATTCGATGTACCGCAATTGAAGAATATAGTGAGTTTTTGAAACTTGACCGTGAAAAGTTTGGGTACGAAAACCAAAGCTAAGTAAGCAAAGGTTATTGCAAGCACCAACAATAAATCATGTTTCAATATGAAAACAAATAATTAGTAATAAATTTATTGTGATAATATCAACTTAAAACATCAACAACGAGTTTACCTTGGTTTAGACGAGCTGCTTTAGAAGTGGACGAGGCTAGAGCGTAACCATATTTCTTGTTGCGTGAAATCTTTGTCGACAATGTTTTTGATTTAATGTTTTGCTTACTGGATTTATCAATTCGAATTGGTTGACTTGTATGAGATGAGAATTTTTTTCTGCCTTTTTTCGACAAATATCTTTGTTTAGCTGCTTCAGCGGCACGAGATGCAGCTGTTGTGTGACCAATCTCATGTAAACTAGATTTATAACCCAAAGATTTATTCGTCGAATTTCTGGACTTTGTAGCGGGCTTTAGAGCAGGAGAAGATGCCTCTGCCAGTAGAGTTGATAAACGGGAAAAATTAAGCGAGCCTACACCAGACGGACGAGACCGACTCGTAACACCACTGTATCCTCCAGTAGAATTTCGATTATTTATTGGACCAGGAGCACAATACCACGTTGAATCAGGAATATGATAAAATTCTTGGATCTCTTTCCAAAGTTCGACGAAACTTTGCTGATTATCGGCAAGATTATGTTCTGTGATTGATTCTTCGGAACATTCATTCGATTTTTTAAGCTGTGGTTCATTGATTGGATCATTCGCAATAACAGTCTGTTGATTAGAAGAGTCATTGTCTGAAGGTGCAGTTATTTGGACAGATTCACCGCCAAGAGTTTCTGATTTCTTTTTACAGTCTGAGACTAGGTTCACTACATTTAGTAAACTCGTTAACTGATTATCATACGTTCCAGATTCCACATTGGATATGATGTTTTTTAATAAACTTGAAAAAAAAGCGTATCAGATAATAATTAATAAATTGAAATTCCATGATAACTTTACTTCATATAAGAAAGTTTTCATCAGTTCCAAATAATTATCGAAAAAATGAAATCTTACAGATCGATTAAATTAATACAATAAAGAAAAATATTGTATTAAAGTTTCTATACAAAATCAAGACAAACGTCTGAAAAAGACCTAATTATAGAGCACATTTACCCAAACTCAAATAATTAGAGTAGGAGGAAAGAGATTCGTTGATAAGTTTATGCACTGATGTGTCTCGACTAGACTAATCAGCCTAAAGAGTACAGGATAAGTTGAGTATAGAAAACAACTTTAGTACGTTGACAGACATGGTAAACGTTTGAAAACGAAGTTTAAACGTGTAATTAAATTTGACTAAATAGAAAGTTGAAAGGTGAAAGATTAAACTATTACAAATAAAACACTAATTTGAAACATATAAATGGAATAAAGCACACCTGTAGTATCGTTGACCACATTGTATTCGCGATCTCAACTCTTCTGCACGTTCAGCACTTAATCGTTTCACAACACGTTCAGCTAAACTTAACTGGCTTGACTGAGAATCACTTCCTGGCATCTTCTGTCGCTTAACTAACTCAATGGAATCCAGAAGTAGAGCATATTGTTTGGCACAAGCTTTAGATGAACACCATGTAGACGGTCGACCTGGTCTAGAAAAACACATCATACGACGACTAGTGGCAGCCCAACTTCCTTGCTGATTATCCACATCCAAAAGAGCAGTAGCAAGTGCCAAACGTTCACGCAAAGGCCATACACCTTGTCCATACCCAGGTCCAAGAAGTCGTTCTGAAGGGACAGGAGTCAGTAGATTGTTAGACATGAAATATCTGTAGGATTAACAAAAATGAAAAACCAAATGCTCAGAAAGGTTTCGAGCAATAAGTTTGAATGTTCAGAAACTAAAAATCTTTCTAGAACTACTTAAACCGACCTTCTAATCTGACAACGTAAGTTGGAGAACAGCCTCAGTAAGCTGCATAAGATCACTGTGATTATCAAAAGATCAGACTAACAGGACTAGCTCGATAAATGTAGAATCTGATCCGAAAGTTATAAGTTACTAGGATGAATAGTATTGAAATTCATAATTCCTTTCAAATCCAACTCTAAGTATGCATAAAAATATGGCAATAAAACATATCGATATAATACGCCATGGTTTTGAAACGAATTTCGATGAATCTATTATCCCTAATCTATAATAAAGATGCAATGAAAGTACTTATATATGTTTTTCTTCAAATGTTAACTAATATAAAGCACATTTATATTAATCCCAATATACAATAAACCGCCTGTAAGTTATGTGTGATTAAGTTAATTGTTTTTAATGTAACGAACCAATCTTTCCACAAATAATCCTTCAAATGAAAACCTATTATCTAGCGATACTACGAAATAAAGTTTTGAAACTATTCGATGCCTCGGTTATAAGAACACAATTCATGTTTACTATGCAACGAAGACATAAGCCCCCACATGGAACCCTCAAGGCAAAAGGAAAAGAGGAAGGTCAAGGAACACATTACGCCGAGAAATAGAGAAAGATATGAGAGGAATGAACAAACATTGGACAGAACTGGAGACGGAAGCCCAGGACAAAGTTGTTTGGAGAAAACTGGTAAGCGGCCTATGCTCCATTGGGGGTAACAGGCGTAAGTAAGTAAGTAAGTAATGCAACGAAGACACATCAACATAGTACGTCTACATGATTTAACTGAATAAACACTATACATCGTTTGAATGCCATCCTTAGACGAAGTCATAATCCTTAACTTAAATGCATTTAACTATCACTTAAAATTGTAAAATTACACGAATGGCAACCTAATTATCACCAGATCAAGAGATAAAGCGTTAATTTCATGCAACTCAGTGGTCGAATATAGGATGTCCTATTACGTTACTTCTATTATGAGGAAGTTAAAGATAATAAGCAGGTTCCTAAAACTGAAGCTGGATGGGATGGCATTCAAACCTATCACCAAATGAATAGGATGTAAATATTCAGATTCTGGTCAAACAGATGACACATGATTTGATAGCAAACAAACACACATACATAGAAATAAAAAGATATTTTACTCTGAGGATTTAACAAACAGTAAACTAAATAAGTTAAAACAAAAAATTAACTGTTAGAAATCTCTCAGGTGAAAATGTACAAAAATAAACAGAAAAAAATATCTTGTTTAAATATACAGCGAAATAGATGAAAAAACACAGTACTAAAATAAATTAACAACAGAGTTTTTATAAAATCTAGACGATAATTATGTACAAAATCTAATAAATAAAATTTTCAAAAAATGTCATCAGAAGTATCAATATTATTTTTATTTTGTAAAAAGCCAACACGTTTAACTATTTCTGCCCAACCAAAACGATTGACAAGTTCATCAAGTTTATTTTTATCAGTTGAACCTAAACATTCATCATCATCAGGTAACCAAAGAGGTGGACTAAAATTTGTTGCTGATGATGGACAACGTTTACCGGTGGTCAGAAAGTTGTACGCTTCTGCAACGGAACCATTTGTCATATGAACAAGCAATATAGCTTGTAATGGCGTTGTTAGATAATTAGAGCAATTTATCAACTTTGAAACCCATACCGGATAATTTATTGGAGTGAATGGAGATGAATCCATTGTCACTATCACTATGTGGGACAATGGATTCATCTCCATTCACTCCAAATAGATTATCCGGTATGGTTTTCAAAGTTGATAAATTGCTCTAATTATCTAACACGCCATTACAAGCTATATTGCTTGTTCATATGAACAAATGGTTCCGTGGCAGAAGCGTACCAACTTTTTGGACGCAATGAAAACGTTGTCCATCATCAGCAACAAATTTTAGGGTCACCTCTTTGGTTACCTGGATGATAGGATGTTAGGTTCAAACTGATAAAACACAACTTGATGAACTTGTCAATCGTTTCGGTTGGGCAGAAATAGCTAAACGTGTTGTGGGTTTTACAAAATAAAAATAATATTGATACTTCTGATGACATTTTTTGAAAATTTTATTTATTAGATTTTGTACATAATTATCGTCTAGATTTTATAAAAACTCTGTTGTTAATTTATTTTAGTACTGTGTTTTTTCATCTATTTCGCTGTATATTTAAACAAGATATTTTTTTCTGTTTATTTTTGTACATTTTCACCTGAGAGATTTCTAACAGTTAATTTTTTGTTTTAACTTATTTAGTTTACTGTTTGTTAAATCCTCAGAGTAAAATATCTTTTTATTTCTATGTATGTGTGTTTGTTTGCTATCAAATCATGTGTCATCTGTTTGACCAGAATCTGAATATTTACATCCTATTCATTTGGTGATAGGTTTGAATGCCATCCCATCCAGCTTCAGTTTTAGGAACCTGCTTATTATCTTTAACTTCCTCATAATAGAAGTAACGTAATAGGACATCCTATATTCGACCACTGAGTTGCATGAAATTAACGCTTTATCTCTTGATCTGGGGCATAATTAGGTTGCCATTCGTGTAATTTTACAATTTTAAGTGATGGTATAAATGCATCTTAAGTTAAGGATTATGACTTCGTCTAAGGATGGCATTCAAACGATGTATAGGTGTTTATTCAGTTAAATCATGTAGACCGTACTATGTTGATGTGTCTTCGTTGCATTACTTACTTACTTACAATTACGCTGTTACCCCCAATGGAGCATAGGCCGCTCACCAGTTTTCTCCTCAACAACTTTGTCCTGGGCTTCGTCCCCCAGTTCTGTCCAATGTTTGTTCATTCCTCTCATATCTTTCTCTATTTCTCGACGTAATGGTTTCCTTGGCCTTCTTCTTTCCTTTTGCCTTGAAGGGTTCCATGTGAGGGCTTGTGTCTTCGTTGCATAGTAAACATGAATTGTGTTCTTATAACTGAGGCATCGAATAGTTTCAAACTTTATTTCGTAGTATCGTTAGATAATAGGTTTTCATTTGAAGGATTATTTGTGAAAAGATTGGTTCGTTACATAAAACAATTAACTTAATCACACATAACTTACAGGCGGTTTATTGTATATTGGGATTGATATAATGTGCTTTATATTAGTTAACATTTGAAGAAAAAACATATATAAGAACTTTCATTGCAATCTATATTATAGATTAGGAATAATAGATTCATCGAAATTTGTTTCAAAACCATGGCGTATTATGTGGATATGTTTTGTTGCCATATTTTATGCATACTTAGAGTTGGATTTGAAAGGAATTATGAATTTCAATACTATTCATCCTAGTAACTGTATAACTTTCGGATCAGATTCTACATTTATCGAGCTAGTCCTGTTGGTCTGATCTTTTGATAATCACAGTGATCTTATGTAGCTCACTGAGGCTGTTCTCCAACTCACATTGTCAGATTAGAAGGTCGGTTTAAGTAGTTCTAGAAAGAATTTTAGTTTCTGAACATTCAAACTTATTGCTGGAAACCTTTCTGAGCATTTGGTTTTTCGTTTTTGTTAATCCTACAGATATTTCATGTCTAACAATCTACTGACTCCTGTCCCTTCAGAACGACTTCTTGGACCTGGGTATGGACAAGGTGTATGGCCTTTGCGTGAACGTTTGGCACTTGCTACTGCTCTTTTGGATGTGGATAATCAGCAAGGAAGTTGGGCTGCCACTAGTCGTCGTATGATGTGTTTTTTCTAGACCAGGTCGACCGTCTACATGGTGTTCATCTAAAGCTTGTGCCAAACAATATGCTCTACTTCTGGATTCCATTGAGTTAGTTAAGCGACAGAAGATGCCAGGAAGTGATTCTCAGTCAAGCCAGTTAAGTTTAGCTGAACGTGTTGTGAAACGATTAAGTGCTGAACGTGCAGAAGAGTTGAGATCGCGAATACAATGTGGTCAACGATACTACAGGTGTGCTTTATTCCATTTATATGTTTCAAATTAGTGTTTTATTTGTAATAGTTTAGTCTTTCACCTTTCAACTTTCTATTTAGTCAAATTTAATTACACGTTTAAACTTCGTTTTCAAACGTTTACCATGTCTGTCAACGTACTAAAGTTGTTTTCTGTACTCAACTTATCCTGTACTCTTTAGGCTGATTAGTCTAGTCGAGACACATCAGTGCATAAACTTATCAACGAATCTCTTTCCTCCTACTCTAATTATTTGAGTTTGGGTAAATGTGCTCTATAATTAGGTCTTTTTCAGACGTTTGTCTGATTTTGTATAGAAACTTTAATACATTATTTTTCTTTATTGTATTAATTTAATCGATCTGTAAGATTTCATTTTTTTGATAATTATTTGGAACCTGATGAAAACTTTCTTATATAAAGTAAAGTTATCATGGAATTTCAATCTATTAATTATTATCTGATACGCTTTTTTTTTCAAGTTTATTAAAAAACATCATATCCAATGTGGAATCTGGAATGTATGATAATCAGTTAACGAGTTTACTAAATGTAGTGAACCTAGTCTCAGACTGTAAAAAGAAATCAGAAATTCTTGGCTGTGAATCTGTCCAAATAACTGCACCTTCAGACAATGACTCTTCTAATCAACAGACTGTTATTGCGAATGATCCAATCAATGAACCACAGCTTAAAAAATCGAATGAATGTTCCGAAGAATCAATCACAGAACATAATCTTGCCGATAATCAGCAAAGTTTCGTCGAACTTTGGAAAGAGATCCAAGAATTTTATCATATTCCTGATTCAACATGGTATTGTGCTCCTGGTCCAATAAATAATCGAAATTCTACTGGAGGATACAGTGGTGTTACGAGTCGGTCTCGTCCGTCTGGTGTAGGCTCGCTTAATTTTTCCCGTTTATCAACTTTACTGGCAGAGGCATCTTCTCCTGCTCTAAAGCCCGCTACACAGTCCAGAAATTCGACGAATAAATCTTTGGGTTATAAATCTAGTTTACATGAGATTGGTCACACAACAGCTGCATCTCGTGCCGCTGAAGCAGCTAAACAAAGATATTTATCGAAAACAGGCAGAAAAAAATTCTCATCTCATACAAGTCAACCAATTCGAATTGATAAATCCAGTAAGCAAAACATTAAATCAAAAACATTGTCGACAAAGATTTCACGCAACAAGAAATATGGTTACGCTCTAGCCTCGTCCACTTCTAAAGCAGCTCGTCTAAACCAAGGTAAACTCGTTGTTGATGTTTTAAGTTGATATTATCACAATAAATTTATTACTAATTATTTGTTTTCATATTGAAACATGATTTATTCTCGGTGCTTGCAATAACCTTTGCTTATTTAGCTTTGGTTTTCATACCCAAACTTTTCACGGTCAAGTTTCAAAAACTCACTATATTCTTCAATTGCGGTACATCGAATTGTGAGGTTATCCATCCATTTTTCAATACTCAAAATGTCTACAGTATCCAGGTTTTGGGATATTTTTCTGAATAATTGGTGAATGCTGCGTATATGAGTGTCTTTTTCAGTTGAAATTTCATTCAAAGCATATAAAGTTATCTGTAATTGTATGTTGCGAGAATTTCAATGTAGCGGACCCAAACTTACAGCATAAAAAATAAAATCATTTGGCCATGAGCACTGATCAGACTCCTTCATCTTACTCTTCTCGAATTCATCTCACTGAATTTTTCTGCTTGAATAATATCTTCAAACCCTAATCTTTCCGATTACTGATCATACTTCTACTACATCTACCTCTATGGGATTTTAATCGACAACTGCTTCTCTGTGCTAATGTGGAATAGCAACTTGAACGGACGTTTCAGAAAGGGCTGGCCCAGAATTCGTACTCGGTAGTAACATTGAAGTTTCTACCGGTCAGTGACTTTAGATCGTTTAGATAAGAAAACATTTCCACCATAGGTTGACTGCTGTAGTAGTCGAAATATCAGAAATACTCAAAACAGAAATGACGAAGTAAACTAGTGGCATAATGAAAAATAGAAACGAATATTAATAATTCGTTCTGATTAGTATTTGTGAAGTTAAAATTATTGGGTTAGTTTGTGGGCAGGGATAGTGCTCGCGTGCCCAGACTGAAGCAGACGGTTTTCACGGGGAGCCACCCCAAGCCTTTGGTCAAAAGGCCTAGTGCGACAGACTGGCGCCACGTCAGGAGATGCAGTTCAATGCTGACCAGTATATTGAGACACCGTTTGTTCTGGGAGTATCCTGGAACCTCTGTCCACCGTTGGTTTGGAATCAGGGTTTTCGTCTCTTTGTGTGGACCCCACGTTCCATTTTAACTTGGTTTATGCGTTGGACACTCGCTTCTCGCCGTCCCAATTCCGTAAACAACACCCTGCTTTTGAAAAGGTAGCGAGTAGGATTTCCCTGGCGATATACATGCGTGATCATATGAGATCGTTACGAAAGAGAACAAGTCCTCCTAATTCTTGTGCATACCTGGGCATTTGGGGGCCACTTTCTGCCCAGCTGTGCTGAACATCGATTGCAGAATGATGTTATGACATTAACTTACGAAAACGTAAGCTTAATAAATATTACTACTACATTATTATGATCGCATATTGCAGAATGTTTATGTATTAGTGATTGAAGCTCTTGCGTACACATTGGGGTAACGGTTTCAGAACCCTCTTCCTACACTCCGATCCCAGCAATTACGTAATTTCACCAGCTCTCGTATGAAAGATTGGGACTTATAGTCGATTAAATAAACCTGTTCCTGTTATCGAGCTCTCGTGACGTCCACCAATATTCATATTAAGTCTTTTTGATTCATTTTTTCCTTGTCTGATTTACCTTTTTAAAGTAGTTTTATTTTTGTTTTATCTTACATTGATAGATCTTTAATAAATGTATTGACAACTAAAGTTTAATTTTCATGATAACCAGTGGATTATGAATATAATGAATTAGTTTCCATGATCTGCACTGCTTACATGATAATTCTATCATTTTAGGGAATTTTTTAGTGTGAAATTCTTGTACATCTTAGCTGGTATTTATTTTCTAATGTAAACTATGGGAATGCTTAATGAACATGTATAAAAGGCTAATATATATATATATATATATATATATATAATATATATATATATATAATACACTTGGCACCTATTTATTTTGCCATTATATTTTTATATCCTAGCTATCACTCGAAACTCACAACCATTGAATTGTAGACCATCTCACCAAAAAAGCTATAGTAGTGTCTGCAAAAAGTTTGAGTCTGTGAAGAAAGAAATCTCTGACAGTGAAACAGAACAAGAAGATGAAGATTCTACGTTTAGCGAATCGTCAACGGATAAACAAACTGACACACCTTCGTCAACCCCATCAACCATTGCAATGTGTATGTCTGATGTAGAAGACTTTCTAATTCAGGATTGATGAACAATCTGAGAAAACTATTCTTAATGACGATAATGCAACTAGTTCTACTTTGGACACGGATAAACCTGCTACAACTATACCTGATGAGGATGGAACTAATGGTTATAATTCTGAAAGTGAAAAGTTCACAACATCATCCTCTTTGTCTACAGAAGCTGTTGGCGAAACAGACTGTCAGGTTGAAGACAAAATTTCTTCCATTTGGCTCAACTCCTACAATTGTAAATACAACTGATGTGCCTGAAGTTGTGGACTGAGGTAGAACTGAAACTTGATAATTTTGATCAGAAGTCACCTGTAGGCGAGGTTGTTGCCAGTTTGAACGAGAATCTACCTACTGATAATAAGTTAGATGAGACTAGTAATAACTCCGTAAATGAAACAGAAGTTCCAGTGATCTCTGACATTCATTATTCCCCTGCATCGCCTGCTACTATTCAAATTTCAGTAGACCATACAACCATTTCGGAATCCAAAGATTTTGTGAATATGGACAGTGAAATAGCTCATAAAGTTACTCGCGTTCTGATGCTTACAGAATCTCCCAACGTGCGGCATCTACGTTTGAGCTTGGGAAAAGCGTAGATGAAAATCGCGGTTCTGCTTCAAATT